GCTCTTTTTACCCAGGCTGGAGTGCAATGGCGCGATCTCGGCTCACCGCAACCTCCGCCTCCTGGGTTCAGGCAATTCTCCTGCCTCAGCCTCCTGAGTAGCTGGGATTACAGGCACGCACCACCATGCCCAGCTAATTTTTTGTATTTTTAGTAGAGACGGGGTTTCACCATGTTGACCAGGATGGTCTCGATCTCTTGACCTCGTGATCCACCCGCCTCGGCCTCCCAAAGTGCTGGGATTACAGGCGTGAGCCACTCCGCCCGGCTAGGTATGTCTTAAATCACAGTGGTGGGGCGTATCCAGGAGTAAAGGTAGAGAAATAGAGGCACTGTGGTGTGAGAGTGGATGTTGATTGTTTTGTGTGTTGAAACAGGGAGTCAGTATTTAATTGTTGGCTTAGGATTGTTCTCAAGTAGTGGATTTGGTGTGCAGGTTCTGGGAAAACATGGGAAGTGTGTTGAGAGCTCAAGACCCAGGAATCCAATGTTTTTGTTTTGGAAAGGGAATTTTACAAGTAAAGCTTTCTTAACCTGGAAGACACTTAGGAACCCTTTCCAATCATCTCATTTTATAGACTGGGAAACCAGCATCTAAGGAGATGAATAGATTTGCCCAAGGTAAGGTAGCAAGTGGCCCTCCTGGGACTCCAACTCATGTCTCCTTTCAGTCTGAGGTTATTTCTCTTATGTCTTCTTAAGGCATGTTTTACATCTTCTGCCAGACTAGCCATGTCAGGCTCACAGTCACAGCACTCCACACAATGCTGACTGTCCTTTCCTGGGTGCCCTTGTTCTTATGACAGCCCCTGAGTAATGAGGTGCTCTTTTTTTTTTTTTTTGAGACGGAGTCTCACTCTGTTGCCCAGGCTGGAGTGCAATGGCACGGTCTGGGCTCACCGCAACCTCCGTCTCCCAAGTTCAAGCAATTCTCCTGCCTCAGCCTCCCAAGTAGCAGGGATTACAGGTGTGAGCCACTGTGCCCGGCTATGACGTGCTCTTAAAAGCAGCACGAGAGGGTCAGCAGGCATCATAGGTCTTTAAGCCTGTGAGGGCCCAGGCCACGGGACAGACAGTAACAAGTCAGGAATGGGAGAGGAGAGGTAGATTGTTAATCAGGGAAAAGTTTTCAATTCAGAACCACCATCTCATGTTTGGAATGAGGAGTGCAAATAGGTTGCCTGAGGGGAGAAGCATGCAATCAGAAAGCATTCTTTATTAACTCCTGTCCAGCAAGAGTGAAAGAAAATTCATGGGAACCTGCAAGAACAAAGCGCACAGCAAAGCTGGACAAGCACAGCAATCCAGGCAGGGGATTTCCAACTCATCTGCTAGTATATATAAGCTGGATGCAAATTCCTTTTTCTGTCTCATTTCTGCCTCTTTGACTGCAGAGATGGCTCCCAATGCTTCCAGCCTCTGTGTAAGCTGGGATTTGATAAAAGGGACGGGGAAAGGAAAAGCACTTTCAAGAGTTTGGGAGAGATCTTAGAAACAGAGGATGGACAGTGCTCAGGGCTCTGGGTGGCTGGGCAGGCATCCTTAAGTGGAAGAGGCTGGCATTGACGTGTGTATGGGAAAGGTGATTGTCTGAAGAGAAGCTGGTTATCTGGCTTCTGTGTTCTTTTTTCAATCGGACCTTGCACTAGTTACTCTTTGGGATCAACGGTAGGAAAAAATATGAGAGTGAGCTATGTGTTCCACAGGGCTGGTGAGATTTAAAATTGTGGAAACATTTTTTAGGGTCCTTAAACTTAATATTTTCTCTCCCCTCAAAGGAGAGCTTCACAAAACTCATTTATCTGAAGTTGTTAATGATCGAACACATTATTTTATATAAGAAAATATGCACTATGGAGAGAACCTGCAATGCTTAACACAGATCCTCCAGTGAAGAAATGTCTGCAATATCTAGATTGGGAAAATATTTCTGAATGGAGTATGAGGGAGGTCTTTTCAGGCTTTCAAGCGGCCGTTAGGGGTGAGTTTTCCCATCTTTTAGGATTTTCCAGTTGTTGAAATAAGACTTAGATATAGTCCCTACCTTCTGTGAGTGAAGCCCTAGTCTAATCAAAGGAGCTCACATTCTATATTAGGTAGATATAAAAATATAAGAAATATAAATTAATAAGAAACACTGAACATAGTGTCACTGTAATATGTAAGTTATTATTACAAAGCAGTGGGATATTTGAAAAGAAACTAGCAGTTCAGTGATTACGTGTCCTACTCAGGATTTCCTTCTGAAGTAGTGACAGAGGGTTTCCTATGTCTGTGAGTATCTTATGAGGCTGTCATATTTTGGAAATTCTCTTTGAGAGTTGTTTTGAGACTCTGGTGTACATGTTTTGAAGCTTTGTATTTACTTTTTGACATTTGACAAACTTTATCTGGATAGGAGATACAGATAAATAGGGTGGAAAAATCATTAATTACATTTTGAGGTGGATAAAAGGTATGTTTTTTACATCCATTGAAATGCACGGAAAAACAAAATAAAAAGATGACCAACTAAAAAAAATCACACATTTATAATTTTATAAAGGAGACTTTATTTCTTATGAAGGGTTATAGTCTGCAGGGTAGTCATTCTGACAGGCTGGGAAGCTCAGCTTCTGGTTGAAGACCAAAAAAAGCAAGCACTTTGCAGGAAGAAAGCACTTTGCACAGGAATTTATGCTAAAGGAGTTTGCTAAGTATACATATGTAATAAGTTATAGCAGAGACAATGAATATTCATGAAGGGGGTCCTAATGCATGCATATTGAATAAGCTTGTATATTACATATCACCCATGGTCACTCTGAAGTGGAGCCTTAACATTTAATTGCATTACAATTAGGCCTTATACATGAAAAGGTGAAGCAGGGGCACAATGGCATTCAAATGCACAGCTTCTGTAAACTAGCCAGAAGCAGTCCATGGTCAGTGGTCTCTTAAAAGGAGAAAATTCCTGAAATCAGTCTTTTGTCCAATTAAAACTGTTGTTATGGCTTGTGGAACAGGAGGTCAGTTAGCCTGTGGGTGAGCTGTAATTGTTTTAATATTGTTCCTCTTGTGGCCAGTGCTTGTTTAGCTGCTAGAGAAAAAAGAAAAAAATTTGGGCAGTTAGAACGTAGTTTATTCTTTAAATGTAGGGATGCATGACTTAACTCTTGCTTGTTATAGTCTTAGGTCTTGTTTATAATTTGCTATTTTATTGACACAAAAAAATCCATCTTATAATCTTTAATGTTGCTGGGTCAGTTGTGTCTAAACTACAAAAGGGAGAAGATATAATGAGTAGTGTCCAACCTGTTCCATCATGACTGAGATGTTTTATTTATTTATTTATCTTGAGACAGTCTCACTCTGTTGCCATCTCTGCTCACTGCAACCTCTGCCTTCAGGTTCAAGTGATTCTCATGCCTCAGCTTCCTGAATAGCTGAGATTACAGGCACTTGCCATCCCACCTGGCTAATTTTTGTATTTTTAGTAGAGATGGGGTTTCACCAAGTTGACCAGGCTGGTCTCAAACGCTTGGCTCAAGTGATCAGCCCACCTCAGCTTCCCAAAGTTCTGGGATTATAGGTGTAAGCCACCACACCCAGCCCAATGACTAAGTTTTCAAAGTTTCTCTAGGGTCCCCCAGAGGAAGAGAGGGTCCCTTCAGTTGCTTGGGGGCTCAGGATTTTATTTTTCATTCTCAAGATTTTGAAAAAAAGGTGTTTATACAGGAATGGGACAAATTTTCTTATTTGTGTTGTGACTTGGTAATTCCAAAAGAGAAGCCCCAAGAAAGAGAGGGGCACTGGTTACTGGACAGGAACTAGAGGACCAGATAGACAGTGGAAGGGTGGGAGCCACTGTGGTGGGGGGCAGGAGTGTAAAGGGAGGCAGGCATCCTAGGCAACTGTCTTGTGGCTTTCACTTCCCGGGTGCATGTCCTTTCCAAGGAATGGGATTTAATGACCTTTGATGTCAACCCAGATGACAGCATGAAGAAAATCAGTGAACATGTCTGTTCTAAGACCAAGGTTCCTGTGCAGGACCAGGTTCTTCTGATGGGGTCCAAGGTCCTAAAGCCACAGAGAAGACTCTCATCTTATGGCATTGACAAGGAGAAGACCATCCACTTTACTCTGAAAGTGGTGAAGCCCAGTGATGAGGAGGTGCCCTTGACTCTCATGGAGTCAGGTGATGAGGGGCAGCAGCACCAGGTGTGAAGAACAAGCTCAGTGGCATAGGTGAAAGCAATGATCGAGACCAAGACAGGTGTAACCCCTGAGACCCAGATTGTGACTTGCAAGGAAAGAAACTGGAAGATGGGAGAAGATGGAAGATTACGGAATCAGAAAGGGCAATTTACTCTTCCTGACATATTATTCCATTGGAGGGTGACCACCCTGGGGACTGGGTGTTGTTGGGGGCCAAAAAGCCTATTTCTTTTAATCTCTTACTCAATGTCCACATCCTTTGATGATTTCCCAAAATTAATGAGAATGAGAGGAGTAGGGTAAGATTTGGGTGGGATGGGTGGGATGAAGAATATTGTCCAACTCTATGTTTCTTTGATTCTAACACAATTAAGTGGCAGGATATTTAAAATGTATTACTGAGAATAGAAAATAATTTTTTTTTTTTTTGGAGACAGAGTCTCGCTCTGTTGCCAGGCGCCAGTCTGGAGTGCAGCGGTGCATTCTCGGCTCACTGCAACCTCCACCTCCTGCGTTCAAGCAATTCTCCTGCCTCAGCCTCCTGAGTAGCTGCGACTCCAGGAGCATGCCACTACACCCAGCTAATTTTTGTATTTTTAGTAGAGACGGGGTTTCACCATGTTGGCCAGGATGATCTCCATCTCTTGACCTCATGATCCACCCACCTCGGCCTCCCAAAGTGCTGGGATTACAGGCGTGAGCCACTGCACCCAGCCAGAAAATAAATTTTTAAGGCATAACAGAGAGAGCATCCAAAGCCAGATTGCAATTTAATTCTTTCTTGATACCTTGTTATTTATGGAAAAACTCCTATCTTCTTTCCTTTATGACAAGAGAGTCAGTTTTAGGTTTGGATCCATGTTCTACTGATTTCTGTCTTTATTAAGACCAGTGCTTTATTTATATCACTCAACAATGTCTGAACCAAATTGAATTTCTATTTATAGAGCATAGTGAAATGATTTATTATAAAATGAATTAATTTCTCTGACATGATCACAAATCACTAAATACTTTAGAAGTTAAATTAAGCTACTTCCCCTACACCCCCCCCCCCCCCCCTTTTCTTTTAAAGCTATTTGGTATGAAATAAAGTCTGGCCTTCTCTTATTCTTTATGTCCCACACCCAACTAAAATAGTTATTATTTCTGGGGATAGTGGTGGGCAAGGATAGGTATTTTCCACAGGGACCTAGTGATTCTGTGTAACTAGTGAGGGTTCCTAGGGGTAGATGGACATTGGGAGGGAACAAACTTTCTGTAGATAGGGGACTGTGGGCCACCATCTCTCCTACCTGTGTTAGGGTCTGTCAGGTCTTCTCCAGGATGAGGGCACCAGTCTGGGTGAGGGTGAGTGAGGAGCTGGCTTCTGGGTTGTCCTCAATATTCTGGTCAGGTTCTGCTCATTGAGCATTTTCCTCTCTGCTTTTTTTTCATTAGAAGATCCCTGTTCCTGTCTTGAGAACTTGAGTCCATTCCTCCATTTATTCCTCTGACTCTCTCTCTTGTTCTTTCATGTCTCACAACTGATCACTTGTTTTTTTCACAGCCTGAGACATGCTTGCCTTCTTCCACACTCATCCTAATTCCTTGTTTCTTTAAAACTTGCTCAAGAGCCAACTCCTGTAGGAGAGTTTCCCATCTCAACCGCACTCAGTAAAATTCACCACCATTTATGGGCTTTCCTTATCACACTTAAGAGTGAAATGCTCCTGTGAGGGCACTGGTTATCTGTCAAGGTCTGCACTAGGTTGGACTGATTTCCTAGAAGAGAGTCCATGGCCACTTTTTCTGGGTGTACCCTTTCCTGGAGGATAGGGATTATAATTTTCTTGTCAACTTGAGACTTCTGATGGCAAACACCAAGGGGTCTTCTATGGTTTTCCATCAGATAAGGAGGAAGTTAAAGGCGAGCATCATGTCCATCATCTTATCTGCGCGCGAAGTCATAAGGTTTTCCCTCCCTAAACCTGTATATCTAGAGGATGTAGGGATGTGCCCTCAAGAATCTAAACATTTCCTCATGGGAGGAAAGTATGTTCTCCATTGGACTCCGTAGGACAAATCTTGGAGATTATTATACAAAAATGAACAATCTGAAGATTAAACTGACTCACGATTAGGTATTTTCATCCTTGGGTTCTGGCTTAATACTTTCTCTCCTCCCCAACGCACTCACTGTCCAGCTTGGCCTCTCCCCAGGCTCCCCAGCAGCCTCCTCGCTGCCCCCTTCACTTCCTTATTCCTGAGGGTGTATATGAGCGGGTTGAGGGCAGGTGTGACCACGGTGTAGAAGAGCGATACGAACTTGCCCCGCGCCTGGTCGTAGTGCTGCGCGGGCTGCAGGTTAAGTGTAGACGGCCGAGCCGTAGAACAGGCAGACGGCTGTCAGGTGGGACCCACAAGTGCCCACCGCCCTCCTCCGGCTTCCGCTGGACCGCATGCGACAGACAGCTCGGGCCACGGCACCGTAGGAGGCCAGGATGACGGCGGACGGTAGCAGCAGGATAATCACGCGGGCGGCGAACATCTGGCTCTCGGTAGCGTCTCGGTCGCCGCTGCAGGCCAGCTTGAGCAGCGCTGGCAGCTCGCAGATGAAGTGGTCCAGCAGACGGGGCGCGCACAGGGGCCGCTGAGTCAGGAGCGCAGTTTGCGCGACGGAGTTGGTGAGGCCGCCTAGCCAGGAGGCGCCGGCCAGAGCGCGGCAGAGGCCCGGGGAGGCGAGGCCAGCGTAGCGCAGCGGGAGGCACACTGCGGCAGCGCGGTCCAGCGCCATCACAGCCAAGAGGACGCACTCGGCGGAACCCAGCGTCAGCGATGCGCACAGCTGGGCGGTGCAGTGGCTGCGCGGGAGCCAGAGCGCGGCTACGCGCAGGTTGGCCAGCAGCGGCGGCACCACACTCGTGGTGAAGCCCGTGTCTACCAGGGCCAGGTGGCAAAGGAAGTAGTACATGGGCGTGTGCAGGCGCGGGTCGCGCACCACCAGCAGCACCAGCGCCGAGTTGCTGGTCAAGGTCAGGAGGTAGCAGAGGAGGACAAGGGCGAAGAGGACCTGCTGCAGGGAGGGCCAGTCGGAGAAACCCAGCAGGAGGAAGCGCTCCTCTGTGCTGTAGTTGGCCTAAAGGAGGAAAACTCCCAGAATGTTTGGAAGGTCGAAATAGAAAAGGGTGAGTACCCCTTATAAGCAAAGGAAAAACCTTGGAGTGTGGAAATGGGCTGGGCGAAGGAATGGAAGCATATGCAAGGTTAGTTTGTGAATTGTAATCCCATGCACAGATGAGATTACTTGAGAATAATCCCCCTAAGGATAAGAGCAACATTCCAAGCTTGGCGTAGCCAACACTCGGTAGACAGAATGATCACCTCTGTTGTTTCAGGTACTCTGCTTTTATTTATGCAACTGTTCATGTAAAATGGAGACCAGACCAGAAGAATCCCTGAGCAGATAGATCCAGTTGGGCCTCCTAAGGGACCTTAACCTTGCTTGATTTGCAAGCATGCCTGAAACTTTGTGTTATGTCTTGTAAATGCCTATATAAAAGAAACGGAACTTAAGCTTAACCAATCAGAGGCAGTCAACAAAACATAATTATATAACCAAAGACTTCCTCATGGGATAGACCAAATAAGGCAACTATAACTACCAATGAAATATTATCTTTGCTTTTATCTGTGTTTTAAAAATCCTCCTCCTCATGTTCTCTCTGTGGAGCTCCCTAGCCACTTCTGACTTCGAGCTGCCCAATTCATGAATCACTGCTGAAATAAACTCTTAAATATTTTACTGGTCTTTAGTTTACTTTCTAACACAACCCATTATACTGCTGATTACTGATTTTTAATTTGCTGTGAATAAAGAATACTCCCAATGTCCATGCCCCTCCCACTGAGGGGAGATCAGCACATGCATACTAGCCTTTAAATCAGGAGTCAGTTGGGTAGGAAAAAGAACACTTTCTGGTAAACCAGAAGTCAGGAGATCCTGGTTTTACCTAGCATAGCTCCCATTAGCCAGTTACCTGATATGGGGAAGTCTTCATTTCCCTCTGTCCCAATTTTTTCATGTGTAAACCAAGGATATTGAATTAGGTGACATCTAAGTTTCCTGTCCCATCTCCCTGGTTTTACTATCAAATATTGATCAAAAAATGAAACAAAAAGAGAACCCAGAAAACAAAGGAACCTCATTCTCCAAAGGGTCTTGTTGAATCAAGTGTCCTAATGGTACAGAAACATATGGTTTATGTGATGGATAAGAGTCTTTCTACTGCACGACTCCTGACATAAATTATTGTATAGATAACTTATTTTACATATCATATTCACTGCTGTTAATTAAAAAATTACAATAGTCTAATTTTTCATTTTTTCAGGGAAAAAAACACTGTTACCTACCAAAACATCCTGTTTGATTGTATTTCTCTCATTTTATCCTCACTGGGCAGAACCAGCATTAATGTTGTGATTAAGAACCAGGGCTCAGCAGCAAGACTGCCTGGGTTCGAGTCCTAGCTCTGCCATTTTCTTTTTCTTTTCTTTATTTTTTTTTGTTTTTGTTTTGAGACCGAGTCTCTCCCTGTCACCAGGCTGGAGTGGCACAGTCTTGGCTTACTGTAACTTCTGTCTCTTGGGTTCAAGCAATTCTCCTGCATCAGCGTCCTGAGTAGCTGGGACTACAGGTGCGCGCTACAACATCCAGCTAATTTTTGTATTTTTAGTAGAGACGGGGTTTCACCATATTGGTCAGGGTGGTCTCTATATTTTAACCTCATGATATGCCCACGTCAGCCTCCCACAGTGCTGGAATTAGGTGTGAACCACTGTGTGCAGCCTGACTCTGCTATTTTCTAGCTGAGCAATCTTGGGCATGTGTTTGGCCTCTCTCTGCCTCAGTTTCCTCATATGAAAATAGAACTATGTTAAGTGGGCTAAATATGAAAAGCCGTTAGAACAGTGCCTGGCACAAAGCAGGCATTAACTATTGTCATCCCTTAATAGACGCTAACAATTGTCACATCTGTTTCCCAAACCAAGAAACAGGTTTCTAAGGGGTTCTTATGCTAGGCAGTGACGTAATTGCTATGAACATTTACATCCCTTTTCATTTATTAAGTCTAATCTTTACTCACTTGAAAATTAGGCAATAGTCTTATTTCATAGAGTATGTTAGGAGAGTAATTGAAGTTAAATTACTTGCCCAAGGCCAGATCATTTGTAAATGCTTAATAAGTTTCCACTTGTATTTGACTAACTTCGAGGGCCTTACCTGTTTGATCAACCAGGCTCCACTTTGCTAGATACTGTGGAGTATAAAAGAATATGCAAAGTCAGACCTATATTTATAGATAATTTTATAATTTGGGGTCATATCGGAGGTGAGTAAAGTAGAAGAGGTGACATTCAGGCTTACAGACCAATGG